GTGTATTTTTCTTTAACACCTGTTTATTGGTAGATGTTAACTGTTTACCTTTATGCACTGACTATTCCATTTAGTTAGTGTTGTAGGTCTGTACTGTACATTTATGTAAGACAATTAAAGCTGTTTCCTTATGATTTTTAGTGTTGTCATTGAAATTCATGCATGCATACAGGTGAAAACAGGTGAGCTTTAAGATTGTGTTACAAGGCATGATACACTACACACTAGCTTAATAGATGATGATGCACATTAAAACTGTGGCAGACTAAGTTCCTGTGCTGTACTGTGTTCATTGGGGATTTGGGTCAGTTGGTTTTCTTTTTATTGTTGTCTGGATTCTGTTACGCTATTTCAGAATAGAAGTGAATGTTAGTCTACATCTGAGCAAATGCTATGCTTTTGGTTGAGGTACATGTAGTTACAGAGATTCAGATTTACACAGAAACTATAGAAGTAAATTGAGTATATTTTGCTAGCTGGGAGTGTTAATAGCACAGTCTGGATGTTAGTAGTGTTAATCTGGATGTGAGCCGAGCATTTATGCCAGAATTGGGCCGAGATACAAACCAAACCATATACAAAAGTCTCGGCCAGCGAGGTTTAAGCTCGGTATGCAGTATTCAGCCTAGATGTGACCCAACTGATTTTTGCTATCTGGGAGACTCAATGATGAAAGGTAAGACGTTGAAACAACGTCACGATACCAACGTTGATTGATCTTTCAAAATCGAAACGTAATCCAACGTTGTTTCAACCATGATCTGTGATGTTGATTCAACCGTGAATAAACGTTGAAATGCCAGCTGGGTAATTAAAAGCTTTGTATTAAAAGGTTAACTTAGTAAATCCTCTGAATAGCATATCTTAGCTGCGTTAGCTAACTCTAGTTGGCATTATCCACACACAAAGCAGCATGATTTCTGTAAATGCTTAGTTTTTAAGGTTTCTAATTTATTTATAAGGGTTATGACATCAAGATTCACTAGCTAACATTACCATAATGGCCCAAAAATGCAGAAATCCATTTTGTATTCCCAGGCATTTTTCGGTGAAGTTAATATTAGCTAGCTAGGTACCTAGCTACTTAAGCTAGCTAAAATCAACATTGTTATACCTTACGGTGCATACGGTACAGTTCATTAGCTAGCTACTTCAGTCTTCCTTCTATTTAATATTTGTTAAAGTTCATTAATATTTTCGTATTGACTGATTAATTCATGTAACACAAATTTCATAGCTAATTAGCTGTTAGCTGTTCCTAGCTACGTCGGCTGCAAAAAGAAAAGTTAGAAGACTAATAACTCCACGCATATCAGGGCTGGTCATTTTAATTGTACAACTTAATTGTAAAATTAATTGTAATTTTAAAAGTACTTAATCTATTGGTTTGTAAAATGTTGAAAAGAACTGCTAGACATTTGAATACATTGTGTTCACAGATGATGAACTGGCCTGAAAACGCAGTGGGGTAAGGTGAGCCATGTACTGCGTGTGTGTATTATTTATCTATAGGGCTATAGGACTATGCGTAAAAGATAATCATCGCCATGTTGGAAAAATAACCGACAGAACTAGAGGGGACTAATAGCTCTTCCCTCTTCTGTTTATTTTACTTTACCTTAAGTTTAGCTTGACTGCAAGAACCGAAATAAATGCCGACGTGCTTTAGAACTTCTACTCGCTTCAGTGTGACTCGATGCGGTTAAACAGCAGAAAGTGACGGGGCATTACTCTAAAACAGCACCAGCCCAGGAGAGAAAGAGCCGCTTATCCTCGTTTTCGCCCGGGAAACAGGTTCAGAAATATTAAAAAATAATATATACACAATGTTTTATCCACTGTTACTGCTGAAACATTAAGTTATAGAGCTGAACAGTCTGGTTCTGGAAGCGAAAATCCCTTTCGTAATCACCATAGGAATTAGATTTTTATCCAGCCAGTGTAGACGTTGAGCTACGAGACTGTGAGATGATGGTATATGCTCCAATTAAAGCCACGAATCAGTCCGGTTTCAGCTTCGTTTCCTAAAAATCGCGTTTTAGTCCCTTGTTTCTCGTAAACAAATACATTACCCATACGCCCTAAAGAGAGCTCCACCAATCAGAGACATCGCTGTTACCATGGCGATTTAAACAGTGTGGTTTAGCTCCAGAAAAGCAGGAAGCACAGCGGCGTCTGTCAGCGATCAGCAGCAGCGCGGGTTCACTGTCGGATATGATGAGTTTTTTAGGGATGCAGAGGAGAAGAGAGCTCAGACTGAGTCCGGCCGTGGAGTGGAGTGTGTGAGGGGGGCAGGTGGTCGGTTCTGTCAGGGTTAGAAAGTACAGGGCTGTGGAGGGACAAACATTATGAACTCCACACAGATCAACACAAATCCCCTTTACTCCACACATTAATGCAGCATCAGACTTTCTCCACCCTTCAGGCTCCCTTTCAGTGATTGTATTTGTCCTTTGGTGCCAAATCAGTGAGTAAAATATTATATGTGCACAAGGCTGTACTGTCTACAATAATAAAAGCATAATATCTACAAAAACACTAAATAGAAAATATAAGTATATAAAGAAAATTGCAAAAGTAGGTGAAAAAAGGAGTCAAATTAATGTTTGTAAGGTCATGATTTGTCTAGTAGCCGACTGGTTTTCTTGAGTGCTTTGCTCTTTATTTAAGGATTTAAAAAAAATGTCTGTGGAGGAAATTAATAGGATTTTTACTATCATAAGCAGAGCTGCTAAAAAGTGGGCAGTCACTGTCCAGCTCTATCATGGGGCCTTTAAAAGTAGGTAGGCAACAGTAAATTGCCCGTATTTTCTGTACAGCTCGAGTCGGCTGGTGGTTAATTGAGTAAAGAAAACTCTACTATAACAAAGGAAAACTCTTTGCTTTTTACTCATGTGTAAAGCACGTGGGCGTGGCTTTGGAAATCACTTGCAATCTAAAGATTCTCTAGTAGGGAGCGTGATTAGCATGCAAGTCGCCATAAATCTGCACCAGACGTTTATGAGCAGATGTTTGCAGTAACATCTATAAAAACAACAGGTGAAGTAGTTTTCAAAAGATTATTTAATATGTGGATTTTCATTAAAACAGTTAATGTTTAGAAAAGCATAATAAACTAAAACTACAACAGAAAGTAGATCAAAGCAGATATTGAGTATTTTTAGATATCTCCCAGGCCTACAATATTACATTGTTTAATACTAGATTTTTTTAAAACATTTTAAATAAATCAGTTAATATTAAAAGCATGTCAGCTAAAGATATAGGTCTAAGCAGCAGACTGAGTTTCTCAGTGTTATCTGCTGCTACTCAAACTGAATATGTCTGTGCTGATCAGGACAAAAATGGCAATTCATTTGTATGTTTGCATTTAAATTTGCCACGCATATATGCAATTCACATTCAATTCAGCTATTTTAACTTGTCATTTGGTACACTAGTACTGACATTTCATTTATATAAAAATTTAGATGCTTTATGAGTAGCTTTATTTAAATTAAAATGTATTTCTGGAGTTGCATAGTTATGCTTCAGATGATTGGTGTCAAAATGATAATTAAAATGTAATTTACCTTATATGCATTTTCACTGTCTAATAATGCTCTTGAATTTGCATTATTAAAGAGAAGTCCAAGCTAGAAAGAGGGCAAAATTCAGATGTACAAAAGGAACTAATGCCTCTCCTCTTTGCAATTAGATATTCTTGCCTACTGCGCTCAATCTGTGGCAAAATGATTCTGAAAATGCATTTGACCTGATTGTATTTTCTTTTTTATAGACTTTCAGCTGTCAGGCATCCCATCAGGTCAGGGCCAGCAGCACACCCAGCAAAAAGGGCTTATTCTGAAGAATGGGGCCCAAGAGTAGCTATTCTTACATTAGCAGAAGGGGTAAAGCAGAGCAATATATACCCTGGTGTTGCTTACTATATCTTTATATATGACCTGATGAGAGTGTTTAACTGAAAGTGTGGCTAGGTTTTCTGGTTTATCAGTCTGGTAGTCGTTGATAAACTTAAGGCTGATGTTAGGCATATCAAATGGCGCTGCAGTAACATTTGGGTGCATTTAGCCACCAGAATGTAACTGCTGCACCATTCAATGAACAAAAAATTTGAAAAAGCAGGGGCTAAAAGACTGCCTATTTCCAGTGCTGCAGGGAGGCCTGCTAGTTGATGCCAAGTAGGGATATTTTCTACATTTTCTACAAAGTGAGTATCAGAAATGGATTTTTTTTTCTAAATGTTAATGTTAAGTGTCTAATTATGCTCCTGGCAACCACTTGCAGTTTCACCTGTTTTCTACCCCAAACCTGATCCTGCTCATTAACTGATGATCAAGTCCTGATCGTCATGAGCTGGATCAGGTGGGGTGAGGAGGGAGTAGACAAAATAAGTGCTGTGGGTTGCTAGGAGCATAATTAATAATAAAAAAGGAGCGTAATTAAGAAGCCGATGTCTGTTCACGTGCTTTTCCCAAAGAAATGTAATAAATTGTAATGTTTTGAAAAGCTTATGTTCTTGTCATGGTTGTTGGTTACACAAGGCAAACAGGCATGTAATTTCATGTGGTGTGTGATGATTATTGATTAGACATGTGACTTTTACATGTTTTAAGCTTTAAGTACACAAATTCCTTAAAATGTAATTTTATATAGTGTCATATATAAATTATATAGTGTAGTGTTTTCCCTACTCTCTACACACCGGATCACAGCTAGTCATCTCATTAACAAAACTTTCCTTTGTTGAAGTGGGTGAGTTAGAGCAGGGAAAACACTCAAATGTGCAGAGCAGGGGTTCTCCAGGGGATTGTTGAATACCACAGCACATGGTACTCGGCCTGGATGTGAGCTGAGCGTTTGGGCCAGAATTGGGCCTAGATTCAAACCGAGTCTGGGCCGATGAGATTCAGGCTTTGTATGCAGCAAAAAATTTCTGATTTTTGCTATCTGGGGAAGGAGGTTTGATACACCGTGACCACAACACACCCACAGTTATCAGCAGCACTAAAGTAAGAAGTGAAACCAGCCCCCCACAGCCCACCCAGCTGAACACAAACCAGCAGTTTTAAGCAGTAAACAGTCAGACAGAGAGAGAGAGAGCAGTGGGGTGAGACTCAGATTTGCATGAACAGGCCTGAGTCGTCCTCTTTCTCCCAGAATAGAGCAGCACTTTCACCAGATGTTCAGCTTAATTCAGCCAAACTCCCTCAAGATCAACACACAGCACTGCACTGAATCTACAGCTGAACTCCCTCTCTAACAACACTGACCATCACCATTCATTACAGTAAAGAACTCACAATGTCCAAAATGAAGCTTTATTTCAGCTCAGCAAAAGCACAGCTACAGCAACAGGACACTGAACAGAGTACAGACAGAAATATCAGCACTGTGTAGAGTTTAAACTCTATTGGAGCTGCATGTGAAAGCAGCTCTATGGTCAGCTCTATCTTGGAGCTGCTAGCCTTCACAGTGGCTCTTTAGGAACGAGGCTCGCTGGTCCACGTTGTCGTGGGAGACCGTACAGACAAACTCCTCCCCCTTTTCCCAGAGTGCTTTGCTGAGGGTCAGGGTGCTGCTGCGGCTGTATTGGCTGTTCTTCTCTTCTTCTACGCTGGTCAGAACACCCTCCTTCACCTCTGAGCTGTCCACTCTCCAGCTCACCTGCGCCCCCTGTGGAGAGTAGCCAGACAGCAGGCAGAGCAGCGAGGCGGATCCCTCAGACAGCTGCAGAGAGGAGGGGGGGAGCAGGGACACGGAGGGTCTGTCTGGAGAGCAGAAACATACCAACCATTAGTGATAGTAATTTGTATAATTAAAGAATGTTGTTGTTGTTGTTGTTGTTATTATTATTATTATTATATTATTTATTATTATAGTAGTATAGTAGTAGTAGTATTGTATTAGCAACATCTCAAAGTATTTTACATCTAAATCATCAATACTAAACACCAACACTAAACACTGGTGGTTATTTTGTCCTAGAAATGATATTTAATAAATGGATATTAAAGCCAGTTGAGTGATCATGAGTTTCTACTGAATGTGTAAATTCAATAAGGCTAATATGATCAGATCTTCTGCTCCTGGTAAGAACACAGGCTGCCACATTCTGACCATGATGGAGTTTATTTAGAGATTCAGTTTAATCTGGAATCATTCATTCATTTCTCAGCATCTGGTAGGATTATCATGTCTTACTTTGTTCTGTAAATTATATTTATATCTGACTGAAATGATGAATCATCATCCAGCGTTATGAGATCTTGGACTGTAGCTTTTAACTGCACAGTAAAAGCTTCAACACTGAGGATAAAATCTGCTCCTTATTTCAATCAGCCCAGCAAAAACACTTCAGCCTGAATGATAATATCAAACACTGCAGTCAAACCCAACAGCAGCAAAAGACGTTTTCATGATCTGATCAACCAGTAAGTCACTGAGCCCTTTAGACAGCACTGACTGTGTATTATGATGTTTCTGAAAACTGGATCTAAATCATTCATGCTTGTTATACCAGCTTTAAAAACAAACAGAGCTGCTGATCAACAGCTTTCTCCAAAATCTGAGACAGAAAATGAATATTGAATATAGGACAATAATTAGAGATGAGAGGGACCAAGGTGTGGTTTATTAACCCTTAAAATCCCAGACTTATTACATCTTAAGACTTATTATTGAGAACTTACATGGAGAACACTGCAAACTGAGCGACTCTTCAGTCGTATGAATATATAAATATGTATGTATTCGACCTGCCAGCAGCTCCTGGGTGTTTAAGGGGTTAATTATATTTAGTAAAGGTTGTCCAGTCAGTAGTAATAATCCTAGCAGTGACCTATACGGTACTGAGTCAAGAGCTCATGTGGTCAATCTAGAGAGCATTAAGCCATAAAGCTTGTTCAGAACTATGGAAATGAATTCTTCACTGAAAAAGTCTAACAACTCACTGCTACTGTGGACTGGAGGAGTCTGAGAGTCACTAATGCTGATCATTTGTTCAACTAGATCAGGTTTACACAGCTCTAGTCCTGGACACCGGCCAACTGTGCTGGACACCGGCCCACCAGGAGCAGAGCTGTGCACTCCTGGATCAGGTGCTGATGACTGTTTTCTAGAATGCTCCTCTGGTTGTGTTTGAAACAGACTCGCACAGTAAAACACTGTATTTGCTTAATCACACAAACTCAGCTCAGATTAACCTCCACATTAAAAATGAGTCCAATTCTTAAGAGTTTTCTGTAGAATTATAAAGAGTCTAAACTGATCAGTGATTAATAATATTATTATTCATTATTCACTTTATCTGAGATTATTCAATATAACTGGATGTGGAAATAATCAGTACAGTTTTTGTAGCTTTGGAAGAAGAAAAGTTACTTTTCACAAAGAGTTTAGTTCCTCAGCCTCACATTTTATATAGTGCTATTTTTATTTAAAAGTCTCATCTGAAACTGAATCTTCTCTAATATTTGTCTTTTATTTACAATATCTTTCTTTTTTATCATGTCAGTTCAGAGAGGAGTTTTTCTTCATTTCCATAGAGGCTCCACTTTGCATTATCAGCCCATGCTTCAGTGCTCTGCTAGTGTTTATAGTCCTGTGAGTTTAACACTTCATGACTGAGAGCTGCTGCCCCACAAACTTCACCCACAGCAACCATGACTTTGGTCTCCATCTTCATCTGGACACTCACCCTCTGGACGCAAGGTAACTCACTCATTGACTTTTGTGTAAATTATTTTCTGCAGGTTTATGTTATGCTCTATATATGTATTCCACTTATTGTACATTTTATTTTATTTTTTCAGGATCCAGTGGTCAGATGACTGTAACTCAGACTCCTGCAGTGAAAACTGTTTCTCCAGGAGGCTCAGTTACCATCAGCTGTAGAACAGGCACTGCATCAAGCTCTCTTTCATGGTATCAGCAGAAACCTGGAGAAGCTCCTAAACTCCTGATCTACTACGCTAGCAGGAGACAGTCAGGTGTTCCAGATCGTTTCACTGGCAGTGGATCTGGATCTGACTTCACTCTGACCATCAGTAATGTCCAGACTGAAGATGCAGGAGATTATTACTGTCTAAGTTATTACAGTAGTGGTAGTGTGTTCCCACAGTGTTTAGTAGGTGTACAAAAAGCTCCCTCAGTCAGCTGCACAGAGACTGCACTGCTGCAGCTGGACTCTACTGCAGGTGCTGAGGGGGAGGATGGACACACACAATAACACACTCTGTGGAAATCAGGACTTTAGATGGAATTTGTTCTTCTTTTCATTAGACTGTAAATGCTTTGTGATTTTAGGGATTTATTTCCTGATCTCCACAGGTCTGGAACTAGCTGTAGAGTTCAGCTAGAGTCTCATTTATTATAAAGTTTATTATAAGGATCTGGACAGATTATGAAATGGATGTTTCTCTCAGTCCTGAGAAAGAGGGAGTCCCTGAAGAAATCCTTCAACAAACTCAGACTGATCAGTTTTTATTAGGAGATCATATTCAGAGGTGAGTAGACTGTAAAAAGGCAGTTTGTCTGTTTAACCTAAACACACTTCACATGGTAACAAATGGTTTAACTGTTTATTCATCCAAGATAAATACTTTTAACAAGACATTTACTCATTCAAATATTTATTTAAGTAAAACCAGTTCAGTTGCCACATGAAGACATTCAGGGTAAAGTTTAGATCTTTACTGAAAAAGTCACTGTAAAACAAACAGTAAAAACATAAACTGATTGTTATAAGCTTTGAACATCTTTGTTTAAATCTGCAATAAAATCTTCATGTTCACCACCGTTAGCTTGGGGCTAACATTACATTGCAAACCCCTTAGTGTTAATCTCACAATCTAGACTTTGATTTTTTTTTCAAATAAATCCCATAATCCCAACCTAACTGCTTATTCTAACCGTACATAACATACTGTATATATTGTATTTATAGTATTCTGTATTTACACACACGTGTGTGTGTGTGTGTGTGTGTGTATGTGTAATTTTGTATATACTGTTAATAGTTATAACAGGAAGTCTCTGGGAAGGTCATTCTCCAACAACAGGCTTGGTGACCACATTTTCTTCCATATCTTGATCTTGTTACCATCCAGAAATAGCTGCAAGTGTGTCTCTGGGTGGATTATGAACTACATATACATGCAGAACAAGTCAATACAGTACATTTACAGACTGTAAGGTTCCTGCCCTGCTGTGTTCTTCTCTCCGACTGCGTCCAGAAACCTTTGCTACTCCTCCTGTCCTCACCTTCCCCTCCTCCTGCTCCTCTCCTTCCTTGGAAGAATGCAGAGGAATAGAGGAGAGGAGAGGAGCAGGAGGAGTAGAGAGAAGCAGCAGAACCTGGGGAAACGGGACAGCTGACTCCTTTAAACATCATTAATAGCTAGAAAGTAAAGTTTGAGTTGGCCTGTCAAAGCCCACTGTAACAGCATGAGACCAGAACAATCAGAACAGCTTTCATTATGAAGTGTAGATATGGAATTTATATCAGAATAGAATATTTATTTCAAGTTTGTTAAATAAGCATTGAAAGAGTTTTAATCTAAATTGATTTCAATTGGAGGATGGAGGGATTAGAAAAGGTAGAAGTGAGAGACAAACGAGGATCATCAGGGTATAAAACACAGTTTGCAGCTTGAGGCCAGCTGTTGAGTCTTTTTACCAAATTTGTTGGCTGAGTATTAAAATTATATGAGTTATAAAATCAATGGTTTCTAAGGGAGGATGGAGGGATGAATGAAAGGATAAAAGTAGTAGACAGATGAGTGCTGTCAATAGGAAATGCAGTTTGGTGCTTGGGGTCAGATATTTAGACCATCGAGTTGGTTGGCTACATATTGAAAATTATTTGAGTTATAAAATGAGTGGGTTCCTATGGGAGGATGGAGGGATGAATGAAAGAATAGAAAGGGTAGACAGATGAGTGTCATCAGTATGAAGTGCAGTTTGGTAATGTGTGTAACGTTAGGCTGCTAGTTTATCTGTTTAATCTGCTAGCGAGTTTATCAGGCCACAGATTTAGTTTAACACAGCCCATACATAGACAGCTAATGCAGTTAATATAACGCCTCAGGCTGAACATCTACTGTACATTTAAGGTGGAACGAGAAAATTCAAACCAGAATCTGCAGAGTGTTCTTATAAGAAAATACTGCCAGTGTTAAAAGAATAATTAGGATAATTAGAGAGTCTAAAACAGCTTTTCAGGGGAAAGTAGTAACGTTAACCTGAGTCTGTAGTGAATTTGAAACGTGGGGCAGCTCTCCAGACAGAGGATGTGAACCCAGACCATCTGAGTTACAGCCAAAAGAGCTAAGGTACAGCAGGAAGGATGAGCTCAACTCAAAAAAAGAAAAATGAACAAGTGATGAAGCTGGAGATCATGAACTCCGCAAGTGCTCCACTGCTGCACCAGTGAAGCCACAGTGAAGAGAGCTGAAAGAAACGCACCTTATCGGGATGAGATACAGGTACCTTATATAGGTGGGAAACATGTCTGAATTTTAAACCCACCCATTTTGGTTCAAGGGGAAGAGCAAACAGAGGACGGCAGGGGAAACTGACTTTCTCAGAAGCAGAGAGAGAACTTAGTAACTAAAGTACCAAATAAACTGAACAGAAGGAAGGAGGTTCCTTCATGATCTGTTTTTCTTCTCAGAGACAAAGAACAGAGAAGAGAACCTCAAAACAAGGCTAGAGCGAGTCGAGCAGTGAGGGAAGCTCAAAACTCTCAGCCCTCTTACCCAAATTACCGGCTGCTTCTGTTGACTCAGACTGGGACAGAGACACAGCAATGTGTGTCTCCTTCTCTGCCCTTATGAAGCCTCTGCCCAGGAGTAGGACGTTGCCAGGAGCGCCGCAGCCCTGGAGCCAGTCCTTCCAGAATTAACATTAAAACACAATTAAAAACGTCTGTTTATGATCTTAGATCTGCAGATACTGACCTGCAAACACCTTCAGTAAAACACAGAAAACATGGAGAGACTCTTTCAGTTATTCTGCTTCTGAGCTGTGGAGCTCAGTTCACCTGTTATTAGACAGTCAAGCTCAGTTCACACATTTAAGATACATTTAAAACGTATCTCTTTAAATCAGCGTTCAACTAAAATTCTCTCTCTCTTTGGTCTGAGTTTGTAACTTGATCTGTCATTGTGTTGTTTATTACTGTAAAACATCACCTGTTCTTAAAGCACTTTGAGCTGCCATTAGTATAAAAGTGCTCTATAAATAATGATATTTATTATTATTACTACTACTACTAATAATAATAATAACTAATAATTAGTGATAGCATAGCAACTGCCTAGCAACACCTCAGCGACCACCTGGGATAGCGTATGAACAGTATTAGCATAGTAACCATTTTTTTGTTTGTTTCTGCATAATTAATTACACATTATTGAAATTCAAAATACAACTTCATTTAAAAAAAAGTTGTAAATGTTTATAAAAACAAAATTCAATGATTTGATTTTTTTTTTTAAAAAAAAGGCCCATATTGAATTTGATGCCAACAACATGCTCCAAAAATGTTGGGACGGAGGGCCTGTTTACCACTGTGTTTCATCACCTCTTCTTTATCAGCACTCTGTAAGGGTTTGGGAACTGAGGAGACACTGCTGTAGTTTAGAAAGTGAAATGTTTTCCCATTTTTGCTTAACATACGATTTCAGCTGATCATCAGTTCAGGGTCTCCTTTGTCATATTTTTTCATTTCATAACCCTCCAAATGTTTTCAGTAGTGACAGGTCTGGACTGCAGGCAGGCCAGTTTAGCACCTGGACTCTTTTAATACGGAGCAATGCTGCTGTAATGCATGCAGAATGTGGTTTAACATCGTCTTGCTGAAATAATCAAGGCCTTCTCTGAAAAAGACGTCGTCTGGATGGCAGCATGTTGTGCCAAATCATGTATATATCATTCAGCATTAATGGTGCCTTCACAGATGTGCCAGTCATCCATGTCATGTGCACTAATGCCCCCCTACACCATCATGACCACTGGCTTTTGAACTGTGCACTCATTGCATTTTGTTTTTATTGACATTTTTCACAGCGCCCCAACATTTATGAAAATGGGGTTGTACTAAGCTGTGTGCCATGTTTGTGAATGTGTTGGATGTGATTATGCCTCTTCACTTAAAGCCAGTAAAGAGCACTTATAATGCTATATAAGACATTATATATCACAGTGAATTTTCGTTTATATTTAAAAAGACATTTAAAGACACACTTCACTAAAAGCCTGTAATGACCTGGCATAGTGCTCTATTGTGTGTTATGTACTTTTATAAATACTTAATTTGAGAAATCAAAGCTGTATGGTATAATGCATTATGACTTGTAAGATCAAACCTTTGTTACGGTGCATTACAACATTAGTATGTACAGTGTTTTATAAATGGACATTATACTGCGTTATGAAACCTTTATAAAGTCACACACTTTTACTGTATAAAGTGTCATGTATGTAGATATAACTACTTATGAGTGATTTTACATGTTTATGCCAGTCATTAAAAGGTATTGCATATGCCATATAATGTATTATAAATGCATTCGTAGTTCATTGTGAATACAGGATTCATAGGAAGTGTTAAAAATGTCTAGAAATAAGTTAAATGATCTTAATATTCATACAACCATGTCAATGTTAGAAATATTAGTCATGTTGACCAGATTTAAGATAATTTAAATCGCAAAGACACCATTTTATTCAGTGAACCAGCAGGCGTTGGAGATCATGAGGGGACAGAGTCAGAATGATCCAAGCTGGAGATCCAGAAGTCCAGAACACAGAGATCCATAACCAAAGCAAGATTAGGACATTTAGGACACATTAACTCAAGAGCTGGTGAAGAAAATGTAGCTGTCCATAAAAAGATCAATCAACATGTATTTAATCGTGTAACTTCAGTTCAAACTGCTGCTTCACTTTAGTTGCTAATAACAGCAGCAGAGCTCACTGTTATCTTACGCTCTAATTCTCCTAGATGGACATTCAGAAATGGAGGACGTCTGTCTCAAATGAAACATCTGAGGCAAAGTTCTGCCTCCTCAGCCGAGTAAAGCAGGTCAGCAATGCTGGTCTTACATATTTAATGTGTGAGTTCACTGAAATCTAAATAACACCAGTGTTTATGGAGTAGTACAGGGTCATGAGGTCACAGATCAGCCTGATGTTGTTTTGGTACAGGATTATCACTCAACTGTAGCTCTAACACAGAGAATTTCTCTTTATTTGGTGATGGTGCCCTGTTTATGTACCATGTCTGTTCTCTGTGAAAGCAGAGTGTCAGCCTTTCTAGTGATTGTAGTCACGTAAGTGAAAAGTGACCCGCTTCACCCACAAGGAGGCGCTGTTGTATGAGTTAAACAGAGACTTTGGTGATGGTGGACTTGTAGTTAAAGCCTGTGCTGAGTCTTAAACAGTAGTGTAGACTTCATTACTGCTTGAAGGTGATGTGTTAATTCTCTAAACTACTTAAACTGCTGTGGTGTTTATTTCACTCTAGTTTATTTCAGACCACACAAGCTAATGAATGAGTGCAGCTCTGAGCCGTGAGCTGCTGTGCTGTGTTGGAAAGTTCTCAGCTTGGATAAATAAAGGCTTTGG